GCATGCTTATATTTGGTACAAGTGTAGATATTGTTAATAGTACTAAATATTTCTTATCTTCTAATTTTGATATGAAAGATTTGGATGAAACTAAAATGATATTGAGTGTGAAAATCATAAGGAGAGATAATGGTGTAATATTGTCACAAGTACATTACACAGAAAGGCTCCTATAAGAGTGGAGTGGGGCCGCTCCTATAAGATTTATTGGTCAAATCTTTATAACTCTCATGAATAACCAGGCAGGCGCACGGGTTCAAAACGCAAAATCGCGTTAACAGCAAATTATGGGTTGCAATGTGATTGATAAAATCTTTGTTATACATCAAGAGTTATTGGTTCACAGAAATTCATATTTCAACAATAATTCTGTAAATCATGTTTTGTCAATCTAAGTTTGGTTCATAATCCAAAAGACACCAAACTAATTATATTTCACCCAAATAAGTCCAACAAATTATTTTCTTATCTTTTGTCCAAAATCTTGTGAAATAGGAAGGAGATTATTATATATAATAGGAGTATTTCAAAAGACTTTTTCCCACATTGAAAAACTAAAAGGACTCCTCATCATTTATGATACTTACTCTTTTATTGGGTTTGTGTTAAGTTGGTAACTAGAGTGGGCTCGCGTGCATGTGGGAAGTTGAATTGGACCGTTTTAGTACAAACTGGCTGATTTGCCCCCTTCACCCGGCACTTGGGTTAAACACGATCCAAGTTAGTTTTATTGCGAGCAAGAATAAATTTTACTTTTACATCTTACAAATCAAAGTTTGACTCTTTCTCGAGTAGATAAATTCTTATCTCATCGGTTACGAAAGTTAGGGCAGGTTCACAACGTTCTCTTATAATGTTATTTTCTGTTACACGAAAAATTAGACACGTTTCTTTTATGTTATCAGATGTTATCCTCTCCAGCGTACACTTTCTGATGCCTATAAATAGTAGTTATTTCCACTTTAGAAAGTACACAAAGCTAAAAGTAGAGGCCTTCCTGCCAACTTCCTTTTACTACTACTACTTCTTCTTCTTCTTCTTCACTCTCTGCTGGATTTACGTAATACTTACTAGTTCTGACCCTTCTTGTTTATACAAGAAGAAGGTTTGTTTAATCTTGGGGAACATTTTGACTTTCTGAAATAATTTCTTAAAACAATGCTATTAAGCACGACTCAAGCTACATTTTATTAGCTTTAGTTAACATTGTTTTTGTGGCTATTTTTACAACAGAGTTCAGATTAGAAAAGGGTCGAATCGATAAAACCATCAAATAAATAGATTAGGTCCAGATCATTATCGAGTTGACGCGTATAACTCATTTAACCGTTTAAATTAAAAAATTAAATGATGATTTGTCCCATCCAAAAGACTTTGCTCCATAGGAGACGTGCCATGTCCTATGTTGTACTTCAATCCTACAATATTGAAGTTTTTGGATAAAAGATTTTGTATTCTTCAATTCTACAATATTGAAGTTTTTGGACAAAAGACTTTGTATTCTATGACGTGCCATGTATCCTCTAGCAAGAGCAAACTGCGATTTCTGCAGAAGTTGAAGTTGTTGACTTATTGCAGTTCAGATTAAATAGTTCAGTTCAGGCCAGGTTCGTGAACCTATAAACCTGAAGGGTCATGTTCAGTCGTGTAACATTACCCGTAAACAGATTGGCAGGTCGTGTCTGAGTTGATGTATTATTTTTAGGATATCTGAGTTTCAACATGACTCGCCAATCTATGACCCGACCTGATTGTCAGGTCTAATAAAAAACTACCTAATTTCATTGGACAGAACCTTTATGAATATTACCTTATTTTGGAAATATGAAACCATCATGGTATAAGCATAAAATTTGGCAACCAAGTTACAAATGCTAATTTAAGACACTTAATGAGACTACGTGAGCAAAGGTTTGTTAATGGGCGGATAGGCCTCGCAAGTTCCATTCCCACAAGTTTGTCCTTTAGTATAATTGAGTTAGAAAAATAATGGAACAAAAGTCTAAATATAGTATAATTGGCATAAAAATAATGTAACAAAATATGAAAATATCATTTACCTTCAAAATGGAACAAAATTGAAATTGTGCTGCCCGAATTGAAGGGTTAAGGGGAGAATTTTATCCTCATCCTTGTTGGGGACAAATGCGGGGATAGGCCTCACAAGTTCTATTTTAAACAACTTTACCTTCGGATATAAATAAGTTATAGATAGAGTGTAAAGAAGTTACAACATGATGTTAAAAAATTTAAAATGACTATTTATCTTCAAATAGAGTGAAATGGAACTTGTTGAGACTTCCATTCTAACAAAAGCATGGCTAAATCACACAAATTCACCTGCAATCATCCATTTCTGTTGATTTCATCCACTATGCTAATCTTGTACTTCGAATACAGTCCTGATTGATGAAATACTTTTCATGTTTTATTTTAGGGATAATTTCAGAAACCTCACTTGAGCTTTTTGACAATTTCACTTGATCCTCTGAGGTTTCAATAATTACATAGACCTCCCCTGGACCAATCAAATGACTAAAATGTCCTCCACTTAATAATTAATTCATAAAGGGACATTTAAAACCAAAAATACTTCTTATTATTCTACTTGTTATTTACTAATCTCAAAATAACAATTTACATCAATTTTCTAATTTTCATCTCTTCCTCTCTCCCTCCCTCCCTCTTTCATATTTTTCTCTCTTTTCTCCTACAACCGCTTCTCCCTCTTATCAAATATTGCGCTCCATTATTACCAACCACACCACTATCAATTTTTTACTATCTCTAAAATTATCTGCATTTTTTGTCTTCCTGTCTCTTTCATTCTATAAAAATTTTAGACCCTTTCTTTTTTTTTTCCAATAGTTTTACTCTTTACAAATGTTAGCCAATTGAAATTACCAAATTAACAAGGCGCAGACCATGGATTTTATTGTCAAACTAAGGGAAGATGAAAAGGTGGCAGTGAGAAAAAAAAATGAAATTGAGAGTTGGAACATAAAGAAGTGACTATTATGTTTGTTAAGCAAAAAAGTCTAACAATTACTCATTGGTTCTCTCTTTTATTTACCTATTGATTGTGATTTTACTATAAAGGCAGAATTTTGTTTCTATTTCTAAGAGTGCTAGAGTAATGATAAATTATGTTCTCAGGGACATGGGGGCATTTCTTAGTTTAATATTGGTAGTGGTGGTAATGAGTTGCATTAGGCAAGAATTAGCAAATAATGAATTTTGAGATGAGTTGGAGTCACTGGCCTTTGTTTGTTTTAATAAGTATGACACGTACAAGAAATTAAAGAATAAAATCTTGTTTTGTTTTTTTCTTCTTCTTTGAAGAAGGGTATTTTAGGATATTTGTGAAATTTATAGCTCATTGGATCTATATTGTTACATAAACCTTAAAAGTAAGGGTGGTAGGTGTAATTTTTGAAATTTAAGGAGAGCTCTCTGTAATTGCTGGAAACCTCAAGGAAGGTTTCTGAAATTATCCCTTAAGTAAAAAAGTTTACCCTTGCAGATGTTCTTTTCTTTTGCTGAGTACATTATTTGCCACATGTTGCAAGTGTATTTATAAAGATTCCTATGACAAGTTAATAACCATAGGATCCCTTCACGGTGCCTATTTACCATTTCAAACTGATATCTTTTATGTAGATTACTAAATTGTTCTTTTTCTTTGTTTCTTTCCACAAAAAATCCAGCTCTATTATAAGGTTTGATTTGTTCAGATAGAATCTTAAACGCAACTATGTAACAACATCTATTAGTTGTCGGATTTTTCTAATATATTATTGCAAGTATAGTTACATATGGGATAATTTTGTCCCGTTGCCACTGCTGATTGTAATCATTCTTATATTGTCTTGTAATCTGTTAGTGTAGTTTATTTTTATACATTGCAATCTTTTTGACTCCTTTACTATATTTTCTATCTTGTCTTGATTTGAAATCTTTCCTACCAGTAATTGTAACCTTGACATTTTTTTTAAATAGTGTAAGTGGGAGGGTTCAAATTCAAGACTCTGAAATTAACCACCCAACTCATCTCTTTCCCTAATTTTGACTTCTTAAGGACCCTAAAGTAAGCATAGTTTATATAAGATAAAACACAAACTAAAATAAAAGCATGTTCAATTTATAAAAATAAGATGAGGGCATAGATTCTAAGACTCATCAATAAGACCAACAGAAAAAAAATACATTACTAAAACCACATGGAAAAATAGAGGGGATAATTCTAAACCATGAGAAGAGTCAAGAGAGGGAAAACATTTAAACAAGTTTGGTAGCGAGTGATGAAAGTATCAAAGAAGTGTCAAGTGTGGTTCAAAATAACAACAAAGGGGAAGTAAAAGTAAAAATGTGCCGCAGTATGTTAGAAAACTAGAATGAAAAAGTTGTGATATATTCCTCTTGGTCATAATACAATAAGATGTCCCTATATATAAGTCTATACACTAAAATACATTGAATCTAGACTAACTTTTACATATGGAAAGATCTATAATTGATCCTAACTAGATGTAATTTATACAAGAGAATCATATAATTGATACAAGAAAATTATACGTCATATTGACATATTTACTTTAACACCTCCCCTCAAACTTAAGATGGTTGCAAGGAAACCAACTTAAGTTTGTTCTTGAGATGATGAAAACAAGCAGAAGATAGTGATTTGGTATGAATATCATTAATCTGGTCCAATGACGAAACAGGGAAGAGACTCAAAGTACCATGATGAAGATGGTGACGCACAAAATGACAATCAATTTCAATATGTTTGGTGCGTTCAAGAAACACATCATTATGTGCTATCTGAATAGCACTATGATTATCACAATAAATAGGAATAGGTGAAGAGTGAGTAACACTCATGTCTTCAACTAGCTAGCGGACCCAAACTAATTCTTGAGATGTATCAGCCAAGGCGTGATATTCAGCCTCAGAACTAGAGCGAGCAGTGACTGTCTGTTTCTTACTACGGCAAGAGATTAAAGAATCACCGACAAAAAAATAAAAGCCAGTAGTTGAACGTCAATCAGTGGGGTCACCAGCCCAATCAGCATCAGAATAGGCAAAGAAAGTTGAAGAGGAGAATGTGCTGAGAAATGAAGACCATGAAAAAGAGTACTCTTGACATAGCGAAGAATTCGGAGGACAGCTGCATAATGAACTAAAGGAGGGGCACTCATAAACAGACTGACAATATGTACAGCATAAGCAATGTCAGGCCGGGTAACAGTCAGATAGACAAGATCGCCAACTAATTGTCGATTTCGCGTAGGATTATCCAATAGAGTGCCATCACGAGGAGTGAGATGTGTGTTTGGCTCAATTGGAGTAGCAGTAGTCTTACTATCTGTGACCCCAGCTGAAACCAAGAGATCTAAAGCATATTTAACTTGGAATAGGTAGTAGCCACTAGAGTCCGAGGAGACTTCAAGACCCAAAAAATAGTTAAGAGAGTCAAGATCCTTCATTTCAAACTTAAGATGAAGGAGTGCTTAAGTTGTTGGATATATCCAAATCATCACCTGTAATGATCATATCATCTACATAAAGAAGTAAGATAGTGCCAGCAGCAGTGCGTCGAAGAAAGAGACCAAAATCATGAGAACTAGAGATGAAACCCAAACTGTGAAGTGTAGAATTGAACTTAGCAAAACCAAGCACGAGGTTCCTACTTAAATCCTTATAGAGCACGACGAAGACGACAGACTTTATGAAGAGGATGAGAAAAGCCTGGAGGTGGTCGCATATAGACTTCATCATTAAGATCACCATTGAGAAATGCATTTTTCACATCCATCTGGAAGAGGGACCAGTGATGATCTTTCCATTAATTTCAAGTACTCATAATATCAAGCAAAGAAGAGCCAAATATACCATAATTTTACCAATTCAACTCAACTTCTTATTTTTTATCCAATTTCGCAAGCAAGCAACTCCAATAGTCAATAAAGATGCAAACTAATCTCATGATCAACTTCTTATTTTCTTAAAGAAGGATTTATTGTACTTTTTACTTTTTTTTCTCTTTTTTTTATGCATATTTTAAGGTTAAATACTACTTAAGTTGTGAAAAATGCCTTTTGACGCGAAGATCGACATTTTTAGATGAAGATCACCGGTTACTCAACATTTCACATACTCAAGTTGCTTTTCATACTCTTAATTTAAGTACCATTTTACGTGAAAGTCGACATTTGTAGATGAAGACTCCCGATTACTAAGTACAAAAACTATTGGAGTAGAATAACCCTTTTATATATATATATATATAATAAAATTCCCTCTAGAATGATCATGAGAAAAGTATGACACTTATTGACCATATTAATTTCTTAACTTATAAAATCAGATAAAAAGAAGAATTTTCATCAAATATACAAAATGTAGGCATAATTTTCTCCACTTTACTAGATATACTTTCCTATAGATGTAAAAATTATAATCACATAAGAATCATTTCCAAATTCCATGAGAAAAGAAGTTTCAAAACCATATATATTTATTCAAAAGGATAAGTGACAAAATTTTACTTATTTATTATGGTTAATAACATATATATGTATAAGGTTTTGAAAAAATTTTGACAGAATTTCCCCTTAAAAGTGGACTAAAACTCCCTACCAGCAACCACAAGAAACACAATTTAAGCACAAGAATTATATCAAACACAACTAAAATCACAAGTACTACACATATTTCTCCCCCCACACTTAAATTACACATTGTCCTCAATGTGTAGGGAAGGAAAGAAAAAAAGAAGAAAAGAAAGAAAGAAGTACTCCCCAAGTCAATGGCTGAGATCTTTATCAGCCACTAATCACGAACCACTGTCAAAATATAAATACCTACCACATAGAAAACAGAAAAATAAAATGAAATTAAACAACTTAAGATCCACAAGATAAGACAATAAGGCAAGCGAATTCAGCAACAAAAGATGATATCTTCAGTGTGCCAAATCAGTCGTCCCCCTCGGCATCATCGTTGTCCTCTGCATCACGATTGGGCGGTGGATGAATGCCCAAATGATCTTCAATTCGACTTAGACGATTCCTAACGTCAGCAAACTGGAATGCAAAGTCGTCCATACGGTCAAAAAGTTGCCAATGAGTCTGTGGTGGAGAAGGAGGTGGTGCTGCAGTAGATGGTCCAGTTTCATCCCGACCATATCTAGCCTTCTGTCTCCGCTCCTGAATAGGGCGTGGAATGTCCCCCATGCCAATACCAAGGCGGCGAAGAGTAGTGATAGTCATCTCAACCCGTGGCGGAACATACTCTCACCGCATGCCTTCCAAGCGAACCTCAAAACATGGGAAGATCAAGGTTAGTAGACGAGGAAAGGATAATTTAAAAGAAGTCTGTGGTAGAGGAGGTGGTGGTGCTGCAGTAGATGGTCTAACTTCATCCCGACCATGTCTAGCCTTCTGTCTCCACTCCTGAACAGGGCGTGGAATGTCCCCCGTGCCAATACTAAGGCGGCGAAGAGTAGTGATAGTCATCTCAGCCCGTGGCGAAACATACTCCCGCCGCATGCCTTCCAAGCGAACCTCAAAACGCGGGAAGATCAAGGTTAGTAGACGAAGAAAGGATAATTTGAAAGAAGTCTGTGGTGGAGGAGGTGGTGGTGCTGCAGTAGATGGTCCAACTTCATCCCGACCATGTCTAGCCTTCTGTCTCCGCTCCTGAACAGGGCATGGAATGTCCCCCGTGCCAATACCAAGGCGACGAAGAGTAGTGATAGTCATCTCAACCCGTGGTGGAACATACTCCCGCCGCAGGCCTTCCAAGCGAACCTCAAAATACGGGAAGATCAAGGCTAGTAGATGAGGAAAGGATAATTTGAAAGAAGTTGTCTTACGCCTCGTCGTAGACCGAATGTGGCTAATGATGATGTTAGGCAGTGAAATGCGAGCATATGGAGACGTCCGGTTATGGAATATGTAATCCAAGAAATAAATATCGCTCTTGCGGACCTCCGTGTGCCCCGTCTTCTTTGGGATGACATTGTGAGTCGTCATGTAAATGATAAGACGATGACGAGGTTCGAAAACATTCGCCAAAATGGTCTCCTTCCTTGTAGAGCGAAAAGGTTGGTACTCAAGACCAAACCTAGCCATGGCCAGCGAGGGATCCCACCTCCTATTCGGGGAAACAAACTCCTTCAAATCTACTGGACGTCCGTCATCCATACACCCCAAAATAGTGGCCAAATCTTGACGTGACAAGGTGATTCGTCTTCCACGCACCCATGACTCAACTATTTCTCCACTATGGCACGCCTTACTTTTAATGTTGGCGTAAAACTCGCGCACCAAGTCGGGGTAGTAATGATTTGGTAGTGTGAGAATCGGAGCCCATCCAAACTGAGCAAAAGCATCTGAGATGTTGTACATCATCTCAACTATTGGATTCACATGCATCTCAAACAAGAACTCCAAGTTAGCATGCTCCTCATACCATTCTTGATTCCTGCGAGTATTGAACCTAGCACTGTCAAATACCGATTTTCCCGCTCCACGGGAGGTGCCCTCACCAGACTGCCGCCTAACTGGTGGTGGAGAAGGTGAATTCTCCTCCTCAGACATTTCCATCTCTTCATTAACCTCCCTCTCCTCACTACTATAAGATGAAAGTATCGCTCTTCTTCCCCGTGGCATAGTACCTAAAAGAAAATGTTGCAATTAACCACATGTATTATGACACAATTCACAATTTGGCAATAAATATCCTAAAATAATCTAAATAATCTCCAATTTGTCCCTTCAAGTGATAATTCATCCAATAACTAATGTAAATGACCGAACAAGAATAGCCATAATTTATATCAAAAATTGCTCAAAATCACCAATTTAAATAAGATATGGAATAACTATAACCCAATTAGTGAAAATAGTAACAATTATGATTATAACTATTTAGAATTAACAATAATAATATGCTTTTAACTATAATCATGTTTGGGCAAAAATTAAACCAATTAACTCACCAAATCAATCAAATTACTCACTATACACAATGCACATGCTCAAACATCATCAACTAAGCATTCTTAACCACAATTAAACATCACCAATGGCTCAAAAACATCCTAACTCCATTTTTCAATTTCCTTCAAATATAGCAATTGTGAATTTTAAATCACTAGAAAATCAATAAATTGCTACATTAAAACATATAAACATGCTTAAACACTCTTAATAAGTATGAATAAATTCAAAAATAGTCATAAATATCATCAAATTTTCGAAATTAAAAGATGTCAGATAACTCAGGATAAAAAATATGACTTTCTAAAATTAAAAGATTTGATGAAGAAACTTACCTCAATCACATAGAAGGATGTTTGGTGACGCTAAAAATGTGAAAAGCCCTATGAAACAACCTCCAATTGAAGAAATTAGAGTTCAAGAATCCTAACCTTCAATCCCTCAAAAACCTGATTTTAGGTGTTTTTCTTGGATTTTAATCGATTAAAAAGGTTGTATGAAGCTCAAAAGGTGTTGGGGTGATGATTTCTAGCAAGATTATAGAGTAAAAAAGAAGATTTGTGAGTTGCGTAGAAAGGAAGAGGAAAAACGCGCCTGAAAAATGAAGAAGAGAAGAAGAAATGAAACTGAAATCACGTTTCTGGAGGCTATATTCGGACACAGAAAACGCGACTGAAAACGCACCTTCAACTCGCATTTTTGAAGTCGCGTTTTCTTCACAAATCTTACAGCAATGAAAACGCGACTATGTTGGAAAACGCGACTTTGAGTCGCGTTTTTGAAGTCGCGTTTTTTAGTTTTGATCCAAGCTTGAAAACACGAGTTCCTTCAAAAAGCGCCTTCAAGTCGCGTTTTGAAGGCGCATTTTCTTTTCTGCAGGTGCAGAATTGAAAACGCAATTCTGAGAAACGCAACTCATAGGCGCATTTTCTTGGAAAATGCATTTTCTGCTGCGAATTTTAGCAGAAATTCAACTTTTGAAAAATTACAAATGGTACCCCAATCACTCAAAATGCATCATAAATCATTTGTTTGTAAAATTTATCGATATGCACACATGTAAAACATTAAAAACATGTATTTTACCCCTTTTCGACAGATCAAATACACATTTAACGCAAATCAAGGGGTTAAGTGGCTTGATCAAAGTTCGCCTTTTTTACCTCAAATGGTCACTCTTGCTTCCAATTATTAACCCTATAACACAAAAATAACAAATCAACTAAAATACATATATTAAACATAAAATCACTACAAATTAACACATATAACTTAAACATTGGGTTGCCTCCCAATTAGCGCTTGTGTTTACAGTCGTTGGCTCGACTCATAGGTTCGGATCATTTTAGAACATTAGGGAACGATTTTCTCCCCACGGGTCGAAACTCCCGAGCCAATTCACCATGTAGTGAGTCATGCATGGATCTCCATAGTTCAATTTCCTCAAATGCCAAGGAGGAATATTAGACTTGTCATAGAGAGGCTCGACTTCACCTTGGAATGGAATTTGCTTGTCTTTTTCAAGTTGGCTCAACTTTTCTCCACTTTTTTCATGGAATAACGAATTTATTAAGCCAACTTCCATCTTTATCTTCTCCTCCTTTGCTCCTACACCATGAAAGTTAGTACCAAGGACATTTATATATTTAACTTTTTCGTTTCTTTCTTGGTTATCCTTTTCATCACATGGCATATTAGAAACAAGAGCAGTAGGCTTTATACTCCCTTCTCTATTATCCAAATTGAATTCCAATTCCTCACCATTAACCC